CCCCGGTACCGGGAACTTAACTCACGACCTTGCGCTTGCCAGGCAGGCGCTTTGCCACTGAGCTAAATCCCCAGCCCCAACAGCTACTGTTTTAAGAATGAGGTGCTACTTTATTTTTTTGTTCTCTTTTACTATAGGTGTTTAGTGTTTTGCTCCTTTCTATTAGAGGTACTTTGCTGGCTGCTACCCTAGTTGTAGTTTTAAGAACAAAGTTCTGTATACCTGCTTATAATGAATTAGACCTTTTTGTTTGCTGTTACTAATAGAACCTTGGTCTCATAGTTTATTAAATTTTATATTATTGGATTACTTTCTATAACATTGTAGTGGTTTAGGGTTACTTTTCTTATAATTTAATTAGGATGGAATTTTTAAGAATTCTGGAATAGATTAAGAAGATTCATTGTATTAAGGTGATAAACCAGGTATACATTTCAGGCAACTAGAATTAGATTTATAGTTTCTACTTTACCTGCTAGCTCATAATTTTGTGTAAGTGTGGGACAGAGTAAAGAAAAGGGGACTCTGTTGCCATCAAGCCATCTTTGAACGTGGTAGGCTTTTTGTGTTCTTGGGAAGACCTTCCAGCACCTGAAATTTAGCTAAATGATTAAGCACATACTTTTTAAATACAGATTTTGCAAAGAAGTTCTTCTTGGTCATTGCCAGTGATTCACTGTTGTTAGAGCTGGCATATATCTTTGTTGTGCATTGTAGTTGTGAAGGACCTTTCTTCTATAGGGTGCTCCTAGGTTTTTTTTCTTCCTTTATAGATAAAGATACACATTTTCATTCTTTTTCACAGTGCTGGTTTTTTCCTTTTCTTTCTCTTTTGTTTTCAGAATCTTTCTTTGGGTCCCTTCAGAAAACTTGTAACTTTAAGTCCCTGGGAAACTTGTGCATCAGGTTATTTCATTCATATTCAACAGTAACTATATCTTAAAGGGTAGAACCAAAAGTCCTACAGGCAAGGAAATTAAGGAAAACTCACCTTCTTTTCAGTTTGCAAATAATTGATAACTGATGCAATATACCTATGTAATGGAGCATGATTTTTCCCCTCCACATTGTGGAGATTTGAAAGTTTTCTTAAAGATTTTCAAATGTCAGTATTGAAGAGATCTCTTGAAAATTAAGTACATGCAGCCTTCGTGAAGGATTATAATTAAATTAGCACAATACTATAGATCCTGGGATTTCTTCCTCATTAGCTGTAGTAGGCTATGAGGACAATTTAATCTTCACTTCAGTTCCTTCTTTTCAGAGGAACAATAACATAAATATAGAAGGTCTTAAACTTTCAGTAAATGAACTCTGGAAATGCAGTGGAGCCTCATTTTTTTCTGTAGACCTGTTATTCTAAATGCTGTTATTACTTATGCATGAATTATATGGCTTCATCACTTAATGGTTAAAGGTTTAAATGTCATAAGGATAGTTTTACAAACCCTAGTTTCTCTAGAAACTAGAGTTTTAATCTTTGGTAGAGTGAATAACAATAGTATAGGTGCATTATCCAGAATTTAAGATTATGTGAGTTGATCTTGTGTTCAAAGAGCATTAAAACATTCTTTTTCTGTGATAGAAAAAAACAGAAATTCTGGGATTTTAGTGATGAATTGTATTTCTGTGTGTATTGCAATTTTCTATTTTTATAAGGCCTTAATTTCAGTGAATAAAGTGTTATGTTATTTCTGCATGAATATATAGTTTTAATGATTAAGTAAATTACTGCACTTTGTATGCATTTGTCTAAATATTTTATGGGTATAAGTTTGCTGTGCTGACATCAATATAACTATATGTTTTTGTTAGCTCTTTGTTATTTTTAAAATACTTCAGCTTTAATTTTTAAGATTTTTTTTTTTCCTAATCATTTTTTAGGGAACCCAGATTGAGTTGTCTATTGGAATTATTTTGGGAATTTCAACGATGGCAGGTATTTAATTATAGCAATTGTTATTCCATTGTCTCCATATTTATAAAGCATTTTGGTGGATTAGATTTAGAAAGGGGATAATTTATTGGAATGAATTTATTTATTGAGATTTCTATTTATCTCCTTAGTCTTAATCTTCTGATTCCTAGTTTTGTATATGTAGCACTTTTTTATTTCCTGAGAAATTGTAGGTAGTTCATGTTAGCTAATGGGTACAAATACCCTGTTATGCTGTCTTATGTTAAGACAAGTTTTTGCAGTAATGCAGTGTTACCTCTAACCTCTTTTACCCTTTGTCTCGGTTAAATTATTTATTTTCTAGAGGGATAGAAAAATTTTAAAGTGCAATATAAGATTGAAATCCCATCTCTTACCACTTTAGTCTTCATGATGATGAGATTTTGAAATTGTTATGTCTTATTGTAACAAACTATGAGGTCAAAGTGAGCTAGTGCAAGCAGCATTTGTTTTCCTTGACTCTTGTCTTTAGAGTTGTATATATGCTATTCTTTAATGTCCAACTATCTAAATTCCCTGACATAAATACTATCTAAAATATGAGTAAAATATTGAATATGTTTTAGTACTGGAACCAAAGTGGAAAGTGGTTCATATAACGGGAAAAAAACCCCTACTACGTAATGGAGGTAGAATACTATAATTTCAGACTTGTCCTCTCTTTTGAACTCTTGAGATTCAGGGGTATTCAGTGAGTTGTTTCGTGTGTAGTTGTTGGAATCAGATAAATGTAATGATGGTTCCAGACCAGTGGATTATATAGTGATATTATGATTTTTCTGACTTTTCTGCAACAATTCACTTGTCCTTTTTTTTACATTTTTAGCTGCTGCTTTGGGAAATCTTGTGTCAGATTTAGCTGGACTTGGGTAGGTGTATTCACTTATTCATTTGTACATTTGGGTAGTTATATATTTTTTGTGTCTCAGATTTTCTTTAAGTGAGAAGCATAAAAAGGACAACTTATTTTGTGCTAAATTTTAGAATTTAATATTATGAGCCAATAGTGCTAAATATTTAGTTGTTGTGCCTCAAGTATAGATGTCTTAGTTATACCCCACTTATACAGAATTAGTATTTCTGGGCATGGGATTTTCATATTATGCTATATACAAAAATTTATTCTAAAATTACCATATCATAAAGTTGAATTCCATTTACTGAAGATGTATTTCACATACATTTCTATGGGTAAATCAGTATTAAAAGCAAGAACCTCCATCATTATTCCACTCTATCCCTCTCCCACAAAGGTAGAAGATATGGAGAATAAGTATCTCCAGAGGTAGGAGATATGGAGAATAAATTTGAGAATACTGATTGGACATGTATACTAGAGAGTGAAACTTTCAGAGGAAGTGATGGCCAAAGCACATTCATGTGTGCACACATGGTCACACACACAAATATATAGCCATATATATATATATCATTTATAACAGTAATATTGTTGAAGATTAAACCCAAGAGCTTGTCCATGCTACGCATGTACTTGACCACTGAGCCATAGCTCCAACGCCTGACACATGTATTTGTTTGGTCATTTTCTCTTTATTTTATGTGTTAGAAATGATGAAACAGACTGAGGATAGCTAGTTATAAAAGCTTTGTTTCTTCCAAGTGACAGATGGCCTGGGCTGCTTTTTGAGGCTGTGGAAGCCTGAGGAATTGGCATTAGTAATTATGATAATTTATTAGTATGGTAATTTTGCTCTGCTTTGACTTTGTGTCTTCCTTTCTGGCTAATTTTAGTGGTGTGGTTTGGACTTGGTCTCAGTAGAAATAAAATTAGCCCCATAATCTAGGCAAAGACAGCTCTGTAAGTAATTTAACCCTTAGTATTAGAGTTATGCACTAGGGCAGTGCTGGCAAACCTGTAGCCTGTGTCCCACAGTGGGCTGTTTGTATCACTGAAAGCTCTAAAAGATTCACTGTCAAAAAAAAAAAAAAAAAAAAAAAAAAAAAAAAAAAAAAAAAAAAAAAAAAAAAAAAAAAAAGATTCACTGTCACTGCACTAGAGTTTTGGGCCAAAGCTACTGTTAAAAGCAGTTCGCTTGTTTTAGGATCATGAATAGAATTTTATATTCTGGAATTCTTGATATGTCTATCATGATATCCTTTTTAATTATTCCATTTCCTAGTTTTCAACTTTAGAGTTAATCATGATAATATAATGACTATGTAGCTTTTTGATATATTTAATAAAACTAAGTCTAATAGATTTTAAAGTGATTTAGTTTGAGATTGTACCATAAAATAATTATTTTTGACTAAAGATGAATTTACTATGAATCTTTATATTTAAGAAGTGTTTCTCTTCTACCAAATTTTTGCTGTCACTGAGTAATAAATACTACATTGTTGGATTTTTAGATGCACAGTTTTTAAAAACTTAACTGGTACCAGGATCCACCTTATGCTTGAATGTTACACATAGTTAAATTGACAAACTTTTTGTTTCTTAGGGTTCATAAAATAAGATTATATATAATAGTGGAGGCAACTTAGAATTGATAAAATACTTGAGGTTGGCCTGAAAATTCTAGGCTGTCATTCTTTGTATACCAATCTGATATATTTTAAAAACTTTCGCTTTCTGACAATAATTATTAACTTACATCATGTTAAAGTACTTTGGTTTGAGTTTAGAACAAGTACAGAAATTGTATCATTTGTAAAAAAAATTTTGTATACCTTGAATTAGTTTTTTAAAGATAACGATAGACAGCAGTTGCTTGAAGTTAACTGACCTATATTAAATACATTTGTATGAAAATATTTTAAAACTGATATTATACACAATAAAAATAAACGTCGTAGGAAATGTTCATGCCATCTAGAGTATCAGGTACAGAAGTAAAATTATCTTGGTTCTGTTTGTAGTAATTACTTTTTTGCTGAGGACACTTTTATATTTATTTAAAAACCTATTGTTTTTTTCTTGTTTTTTAAAGACTTGCAGGCTATGTTGAAGCTTTGGCTTCCAGGTTAGGCTTATCAATTCCTGATCTTACACCAAAGCAAGTGGACATGTGGCAAACACGTGTTAGTACACATTTGGTAAGTAATTTATATGGTTAATGATAATGAATTAGGAAGGAGAGTGTGTGGCTTTTGCCCTGGAGACTAGAGTTGATGTGAGTAAAATTGTTAAAATTATCTAAGTCTTGACAGTTTCCAATGAAACAATAATTTATTTACCAGCTTATTTTTTTATAGTTTTTTTTATACTTTTTTATACTTTTTTTTTTATACTTTTTTTTATACTTCTTTTTAATCTTCATTTTTAGTACATATTTGCCTTACGTAATGATCACATTCATCATGATGAATTTGTGCCTGTATATAATGTATCTTAATTCTTTTTTTTATTTCCTTCCCCACCCTTCGCCCTTCTTCCCCTCTTCATTTATAGAAGCTCTGTTTCCGCGTTTTCCTTCCATTCTGTTTTTCTTGTTTTCCTTCCTGTTTGAACAAATTCTTCCTACTTCCCCATATTGAGCCTCCATTTTTTTTTGAGCCTCCATTTTGTCCCTTATTTTTTTTTATTTTAAAGAAAATAGTCCCCCCCCCAAAAAAAAAGAACAATAGCAAAATACAAACAACACAAAACAAGGACATTAAAAATGATACAGGGTTTTAAACCAAATGATAGAGATTAACAGTGGTTGTGATATTACACATTGCCATCCCCAACCAAGTTGCTCAGATTAGCAGATGTAAGAATAGAAGATTGATCAAATCATTAAAGGGAATAAGAAAATAATTTGAAAGAACATTAGAGACAATACATAGTGTCACTAGGCAGGACTGTAGAAATTCATCAATGGATATTATACTGCAAATTGTTGTTGTCACATAAGTTACTCAGATTACCAGATACAAGCATGCAAAATTAGTCAAAATATTAAAAAAAAAACCTTTTAATCATTAACTGTTCCCCTCAATAAACCATCAGACACCAACATTACAGTTATGCCACCAATCCATATACACACACGCACACACACACACACATGCATATATATAAAAAGCCTTAGTACTTTCTTTTTCTTCTTTCCTTCATCCCAGTTGTTCCTTCCTTTGAGCAATTTCTTTCCCTTTCTTATTATCTATTGTACATTTTGGGTTTTATTTACTCTTTCATGCTCTTACACCAGGGAGACAATATGATGTTTACACATGTGGGCCTGATTTATTTCACTTATGAGTGTATGGTCTGTAGTTGCATCCATTTACCTATAAAAGCCTCGAGTTTGTCTTTTTTTATAGCGGAGTAATACTCCATTGTATAGAAATACCACATCCTTTTATCCATTCCTCAGTGGATGGGCATTTGGGTTGTTTCCAAGATTTAACAATGACAAATTGCACTGCTATAAATGTGGGTGCGCGTATATCGCTGTGGTATGATGTTTTTAATTCTTCTGGAAATATACCCAGAAGGGGAATAGCTGGGTTAAGTGGGACTTCTAATTCTAGTTTTGTGAGGAATCTCCAGACTGATTTCCACAGTGGTTTCACCAGTCGACACTCCCACCAGCAGTGGAGAAGTGTTCCTTTTGCCCCACAGCCTCTCCAGCATTTGTCATTGGTTGACTTCTCTTTTGTACCTTATTTACATTTTGGGTTTTTCGTATAAGAGAAACAATGCAATATTTAAACTTGTGTGTCTGATTTATGTCACTTAAGATTATGGTCTCAAGATACATCCATTTACCTAAACAGGTGGGAGTGTAAATTGGTACAACCACTATGGAAATCGGTATGGAGACTGCTCAAAAAACTAAAACTAGAGATTCCATTTGACCTAGCTATTCCCCTTCTAGGTGTCTTCCTGAAAGAGCTAACACAGTGATACATGGATACTCATGTTCATAGCAGCACAATTTATACTAGCTAAATCTTGGAAATAGCACATATGTCCATCAAGTGAATGGATAAAGAAAATATATTTATATACAGAGGAGTACTACTCTACCATAAAGAAGGATAAACTTGAGACATTTTTAGTTAAATGGATATATTTTGAGACCATCCTACATGAAATAAATCAGACACCTTTTTATTGGTCTTTTTTGAGACAGGATCTCACCATGTATTTCAGACTGGCCTTGAGCTCACTTTGTAGCTCAGGCTGGTCTTGAACTTGCAACAGTACTCCTGCCTCAGCCTCCCAAGTGCTGGGATTATAGGTGTGTACCACCACACCCACACTGTACCACACTGGCTCAGCCACATTTTTAAAAAATTTTTTTATTTCATTTTATTAGTGCATGTGTGCAATTCATGCAGTTTATAATCATCTTGAGGAATGGTTACATGTACATGCTACAGCTTGTTTCTTTTTTTCTTTTAATCTCCTTTCCCTTCCCTTCTCCCTCCTCCTCCAATTCCCCATCCCATTTTTCTTTCTTATTGATATTATTGATTTTAGCTCATGTTATGGCACACAGTATTCATATTAACTGAGGTTATTAGGTTCTTGTACTTGGCATGTCTTTCTTCTGCTTATTTCCCCTTCTGCCCTCCTTGCCCCTCGTGCTTTTTCCCTTGGATCACTTCCCTGTTGCAGGAGACCCATCTCCTCGTCCCCTGTTATTCATCCTTCATTATTCTCTTTCTTTGTACTTTGTCTCACTCAAATGAGAGTTACCATATGGTATTTAAGCTTGTGCAGACACAGTTGAAATATTGCATTGTTCCTCTTGTGTGAGAAACCCCACTCCTTAATTTTTGTAAGTACACCTGATTTTTAAAAAAATTCATCCAATTTAGTTAAGGTCAAGGAGTATCTGTTAAGGAGTATATGTTATGTACTAAAAATTGGAAGATATAGCATGAATAATAAGCTGTCATTATCCTTGAAGAATTTAAGGGGAGAATCAGATATGTAAACAAATTATCACTTAGTATGACATATGCAGTAATAGAATCATGCACAAGATCAAGCAGTAGCACTACTAAGTGCATTCATACTTTGTGGGGAGAAATTTCTTTTGGTGGAGAAATGTTTTGGTCATTATTAGATCTAAGCTGAGTTTTGAATTATTGATGAAGCATTTACCAGATAAGTAGGAGAGTTCTGAGTATACTGACTAGCAAGAAAAAGGGCGTGACTGTAAAGAGGGGGTCCATTCAGAGAACTACGGGAAGTTATGTATTCCAAGGATATGGGTGTTGTGAGTAGAAACAGTAGTAGAAAACAGCATTAAAGAGCTAAGCGTGAATTAGGAAGATAAGGCATTGTGCATATTCTCCCAAGCAGCTCAGACCTCAGACACTGAGGGTGATGAACTAGTGGAGTGTTAACTAGGAAGGAAACTGGATGGATCATGATGCTACCAATGAAGTCAGGAAAAGAAGGAAGCATTAAGTTGTAAGGGAAGACAATGAGTTCTGTTGTGGACAGAACTGGCTGAATTGGCTGATTGGAGATGCTAGCAGGGCATATAAGTGGTGACACCTAGGAAGCATTTGGATTGATTTTCAAGTGTTAGCGGGGTCTCATTAGAGATGATGGGTATCAGTGATCATTCAACAAAAATTTATTGTTTACCTACTATGTGTAAGGTACAGTTCTAGAAGTTCTGAATATGTATGTTACCAAAGGCACTTTTTCTCCCCTGGTGAATCTTGCATTAAGCAGGGGAAGAGAAGACAATAAAAAGATCTGATGAAATATCTAGTATACTAGAAACTGATAATTATTATAGGGTGAAAAAAGACTGAGCAAGGTAAAAGATGTTAAGAGAGCTAAGATGAGGCAAGTTGTACTATTAAATAGAAAGGTCGCTGTAGGCCTCACTGCTAAGGTAGGTGAGAGTTAAAACCATGAGAGATGGTGAGATTTTATAGGGGAGTGATTCTCAAAGTATGGTAGTGAACCAGCAGGACTGACTGCATGTAGTTGAAACTGTCAGTCTCCATCTTAGGCTATTGCTATATTTAAAAAATTGGAGCATATCACATCTCTCATTATCTGTGGGTCAGGAGACCAGGCACAGCTTATCTAGGTCCTCTGAAGGGCTGCAGTCACTGTGTGTCCCAGTCTTGGTTCTTGCCTGGAACTTCAATTGGGAATGGAGCCATCTCCAAACCAAGACATGTTGTTCACAAAATTACAAGGGGTGGCTAAAATATACCACAAATGTTTAAATAAAAATTTATTACAGTAAAAGACAGCTTGCCATTAATCCCCCTCAAAAAACTTCCTCTTGTTTCCAACACACTTTTCCTATAGTCTTTGCTACTTTCTGGAGCAGTTCTGGAAGTCCTCTTTCGTGAGTATCTTTACATATATGATCAAAAACGTGGGGAATGCCAATGGAGAGTGTCATCCAACTGATATATAGGGATGTTAAAACATAACAATGCATCCTTATTGACCTTATTTACCAGATCTGGCACCATGCAAGTTCTGGTTCTTTGTCAAAGTCAAAATGACTACGAAAGGTAAATGTTTTGAATCAATTCAGGACATTGAGAAGGCCACAAAACACTAGACACTCACAGAAGGACTTTCCGGAATGGTTCAGAAGGTGGCAGGAGTGATGGGGTATGTTCGAGGAGAGGGGGAGTGTTTAGTGAAATCAGTGACAGAGTATCTTTTACTATAATAAGAGAAATTAGACATTTATTTTTCTTTTAAAAAAATAATAAATTGATACTTTTATTTCCATTCATTTTTGATCATACCTTGTAATTTTCTTGTTGCTGTAAAGGTCTACCCTCCTGGCCAGAAGTTGTCCTGTCCGTTGACTAGAAGCCATCATCATGAGACTTCCCTCACTATCTAAAACTTACTACAGTGTCTTTCCACGTGGCCCTCTCCATAGGTCCTTCAGGACAAGGCATCTGCTTTAGAGCCAGCAAGGGAGAGAAAATCAGTCTGCTGGCAAGACAGAGTCTTTGGTTAGACACATGTTAGAGTGTCTTGCCTGTGTTCTATGGGAAGAGTTTATGCAAACCCATGAATACTGGAAAGAACAGGTCCTGCTGGCCACTTTAAAGTCCCTCTGCTGCAGCTTTTCAGGGTCAGAGATTCTATAGGTAGGATCTGCGAGCTTGTGTTTAACAAGCCCTCAAGGTAATTCTGCTGCACTCTAAAATTTCCTACTATTGAGAGAATGTACAGAGTAAAAGCACCTGCAAGTTCATGGTCTTTGCAGATTTGCAAGGAAAAAGTTGAAAGAAGCAACAAGTGACAATCAGTTTCTCTTGCCATAAAGTATGGTTTCTGATAAGATTTGGTGTATATGATCAGCCCTCAGTATCTGCTGCTTCTGTATCTGTGGATTCAGCCAGCTATAGATGGAAAGTATTTGAAAAAGGTTGCGCCATTATTGAACCTGTACAGACTTTTCCCATGTCGTTATTCCCTAGACAGTACAGTGTAACAACTAAATAGCACATTATATTAAGAACTTTAGGTAATTGAGAGATGGTTTACAGTATATAGAAGATCTGTAAGTTATATGCAGATACTGCTCTCTTCCTTGCAGGACTTGAGCACCTGTAGATTTTGTATCCTTACGGGTTCCTGGAACTCATTGATACCTTGGGACTACTGTAGTTGCTAATTGGAGATCATTTCTTGTGATTTCCATGGACTAATGTGAGAAAAAATCAGATGGGAGTGGATTGAAATGTTAATAGGAGGTGAGGAAAAAGATAATGTATAAGATTCATGTGTTTAAATTAAGTTAAACTGAATTTGTTTTAGTGAAGGTATTAAAATGAATTTGTTGGAAGTACTATAAACAGAATTTGTACATGAAAAATGTCCATGTAATGTATAGAAATACGTGTGTAGGCTAAGATTGAATTAAATTTATCGTTTGTCACTGTAAGTGCAATAGTTAAAGTAAGAACACGTATTTTTAAACATTTTGGACTTTTATACTTTGAATTAACTAGTAGGGAAAGTCACTACTAAACTTGGGAAGTGTGTAGCTTTCAAATGAAGTGTAAAAAGAGTGTAGAAATCAAATGAAGAACATTTGTTTGTTAGAAGTTTTACTTTATAAAGGATAATAAGTCTTAAGAAAGTAGAATGTGAAGTAAACAGCATGTTAATTTGAGGCTTTTATATTGTGTTTGTCCCAATGAGCTAATGTGCAGATAAATTGAAGTGATATGAGGTATCAAGTATCAGCCAGAGTTATTAGGGGGAAAAATACTCTAACATTCTGGGAATTTGTCTTAGAGTTTTCCTGTCACAGTTGAGATCAGGAAGAAGTTTTGTTTTCCTGGAGTCTCTTTTTCTCACATTATTGATAATTCTGATTTCTTTTTCCATCAGGTTTATTTACCTTATTTTATGACAAAAGTACCTCAGTTTACTAAACTATGTCTATGTTTATTGTATACTTTGATAAAGCCCCCAGCAACATATTGAAGCAGAGATTGTATTCCTTAATTATTGACTCTGCTTGTTGGTATTATCTGTAGTGACAGGTCTCCAGGACGAGGTGCCCGCAGATGAATAAGAAAAGGTAAACGATAAGAACAGAAGAGGCGTAAGTCTGGGATCAGGGGGCCCACAGCCTCTAGGACTCCAGCAGCCCTGATCACTCTTCTCAACCGCCTTTTATTAAAATCCAAAATGTAACTCAGATCCACAGGAGAAATTCATTATCCCTTTCCATTTCTGCCTCTCAGCTGATGGCAGCCATCCTCGGCGAGCCTCCCACACCTCGTACCACGTGCACTCAGCACAGCTGGGGATCATCGGCTGACTGTTAGCAATCACAGTCCTTTCCCCACATCTGCTTGTTTAGGTCAGCATTAAATCTGCTTTGTAATGCAGCATTTTGGTTATACACAGTCTAACATATTTGAGGTTAGTGATCAGCCATTTATTCATGATGTAAACTATCTCTGAAAAGTACCCATACTAGAAGGTACAAAAATATACATGCAGATTCAGTTAACCTAAGTTGTATTTTAAAACCTTATTTGTTTGATTCCTGGGACCAAAAAATAAAAAATAAAACCTCATTTGTAACTTGGTTTTTTGAACTTGAGAAATATTTTCTGATAAAACAATATTTCAGGTGGACTAGAGTTCTCAGATTAGTTGCAGTGTAGGGACTTGAGTATCATAAATCCTAATAATAATATATAAATAAGTTTTTATAGTAGGAAAACGGTGTTTCAGAGCCTGGATAAGGGAGTCAGAAGAAGGTAATTACTTCTTTCCTCCCTTTCTGGCCTTGTGAATGTATATCTCTTTGAGGTAGCTGGGTTAGGATTCACTGACTGGCATTCCTAAAGTGACGGAGAGGAGAGCCTGGGCTGGCAGGGACAGTACTAAAAGGTATTCCAACAGAATGGATTGAAGTAGAAATGGAGTCCATCAGCAGTGGTCATTTCAGGGAAGTCAGGAGTCTAAAATAGAGTAGAGTCCCTATGAATATATAAATAAACACAAGTGTTAAGTCAAAATATGAATCTAGGATTGACTTTTATCAGCCCCTGAAGAAAATTTCTGCTTGTTAAAACTCTGGAGAAGCGATACCTTTTAACATTTTGACATAATGAAAATGATAGATTTGACTATTTATGCTGCTGCTACCACCATCACCAACAGAAACCTCAAGGTAATATAGTTGAAAAAGTATTGTGCAAGTTGTTATCAAAACATTGTCACACTTGCAGTTTGTTAGAAAGACTGTAGGATCTGCTAGCTAAATGGCAATGTACAGAATACATTTTATTTAAAACCATAGATTATGTAGCTGTCATAGCATCTATAATGCTGATAAGGAGTCATTTTGTCCTCTCTGTACCTAAATAGAAGCTCCTGGAAGAGAGAGACTGCATCTGATTAGGCCCTGTCTCCTTGATTGAGCCAGCACAGTCTGGCATGTAGTAGATTCTCAGTGTTTGTATGAAGAAATGAAACTTAGCTGGAAAGTGTTTAACCTTGTTATTATCATAGGGATACATATTTTAAACATTTATACAAGTACAGATTTAAGATTTTTTCATGATATAGGTGAAGTTGCAGAAAAATTGATGTGTATTTATGATATATTGAAATTGGCGTATGTATATGTGCAGTTTTGTCAAGAGTGGACAGCATGACACTAGTCTGAAGATGCATAAATATTAACATTAGATTTTAAGATAAATCATTGAAGAACTATACACAGAAGTTTTGTTGTTGTGTCACAGTGGTGGAAAGGTAGCAGTGGTTTTCTTCTATGGTAAGGAGAACTTTAAGTAGATTATAGGCCCATCAATTTAGAAGAATTTAGAAGTCTTTGTATTAAATTTATATAACAGTATGGAAAGGAGTTTATGTGTTGCTGTAGGGAGTGGAGTGAGGCAGAAAAATTGCTGCATTTACTAAGCTGGTTATATCTCTGTATAATCAGGTAGACATGGGAATGAATATTGAAAAGGAATATGTACAAAGGGTAGCAAGCCCAAATATATTGAGAGTAGTTGGGGAGGGTTTGTTTTTCCTGCCCTCCCTTTTTCTGACATTCAAACATATGTACAGTTTTTTAAAAGTACTTTTTATTTGACTCTCTTTGATGTTATTTTTAATGACAGTTGTTTTTACTATGTAGTTCAACACAGTGGCGATCCTCCTGCCTCAGCCTCCCAGTGCTGGGATTACAGGCATGTGCCACTACGCCCAGCTATTTTTTACATTTAAGTTACTATAATCATCAAATACAATCATAGTTGAATTACTGTAGACACTTAAGCAAAAGTACTGCTTTCAGGGATATATAGTAACTTTAAAAAAAATGTTCTTTTCTGTTTCTTTAGGGCAAAGCTGTTGGAGTAACTATTGGCTGCATTCTAGGGATGTTCCCGTTGATGTTCTTTGGAGGAGGGGAAGAGGATGAAAAACTGGAAGAGGAAAAGGAGTCTGCCTAGAATACCTATAAGGATGTAAACTAATGTACCTCAGTTATTAAACATGCTGTCACAACAGTTAAGAATTAAGACAGAAACTTTGTATAGATACGGGATCAAATAATTCAGCATGTATTATGGAAAACACTAACTTATTGTGGCTTGGTCTTCTTAGGACATCTTTTTTTAAAAAAAAGAAACTATTTAGTATTGTTTTGTGTAAATTGTTGAAGTGCTTTTTCTCAAAGACAGTCAACATTTTATCTTCTTCTGTTTATATATCAAAATATTATTTAAGTTGCAGTCGTTGGTGTACTGTACTGACTTGGGGTTTGCTTATTTGTTACTTAATGTGTACATGCATGAAAGTACTTGTTGTTGTTGTTATTCCCTGATAATTATGATTCAACCTTAAAATTTTTCCAAATTTCTTAAGGTTAATATCAGTTAAAGATTTTTTTACTCTTTTGGCAGCATCAATTTTGTACTGTTTCACAGTAAACATTTGCAATCATGTAATTTCAGTAATTTTCTTAACTCACATCTATTCTAAATGAATGCAGATTTTAAGTATATGTTACTCATTTTAATTTTCTGACCATACTGTCTTAAGAACCAGAGGTTAATCAGAGAGAGAAATTATGTAATGTCCCTCTAATGTACAACCATATATGCTAACAAGTGTACTTACTTCTGGTTGATTTTTTTACCTTTAGTTTTCCTAAAATGAATAATTATGTGGTGAGTTCTGACTCTTAAAGGGAAGAAAATGGTTATGTCTTTTAAAGTAAGGATTACAGAATTAGGGGGATCTAAGAAATTGGACATGACATTTGGAATTTAAGAGGCTAATTTTTTTTCTTAGTGAAGTAGAATTGGAATCTTTATGGTATAGGTAGTAAAGCTGAAGTAGTATTTGGACGATGAATGAGATACAAGTTTTATTGCCTGGAAAGAATCTCCCCTGCCCCCCCACAAAAAAGTATTATTTTCCATCTGAATAGAATGGATCTGAATACTATATTACTTACAGTTTTAACGTTTATTTATTTTTTTTTTTTGGTTTTTCTCCGGTACCGGGAACCGAACTCACGACCTTGCGCTTGCCAGGCAGGCGCTTT